CAATAAGTATCTATCTTAGAATTTTTAAAATTTAGATAAAATATAAGAAAAAAAATGTAAAAATTTTAAAATTATACAAAGTATAAATAATGATCTTTTAATAAAGTTCAAATTTAAGTTTAAAATAGTTAAAAATGAAATGTATATTTTAAAAAAAAAACTAAAAAAAAAATTCTTATTTAATAATTTAATATGAAGCTAGAGGTGAATTATATTTGTATATCTTTACAAATATTTCAACCACGTTTAAATTTAATCCAAGTTAGCCGGAAGTGAAATAAAATATACAAATATGGTTTTTTTTATAGCCCAAATATAGTTTAATAAATTTTTATTTATTTATTTTTAGAAAAACTAATTTTATTCAATTAATTTTTGATTTTTTAAAAATTAAGCTAATTATTCACCTAAGAAAATTAAGCTAATTTAATTCAGTCAATTAATCTATATTTTTTATGACTAAATTTATACTTTTATTCCAAATAGTTTTAATGACTCACATACTTATCTTACTCTTCATGCATCAACTCCTCCCCAATTAGATGTTATTTTATACATGATTAAATGGCTCTCTTTTTTCTTGTCTTGTATTACCTTTTATTTATTTATTTATTTTATCTAATGGGTTGAGCTGATTTTGGCCCATGATTATGGACTTGAAAAATAAATAGTGGGTCGAGATCAATCACTTAATGTTGTCAAAATCGAGTTTTTACGTAGAAATAAAAGAAAATGGTATAAACATAAATCGTAGAAATGACACAAAATATAAAGTTTCTACTACTTAAGGTCAAGATACAGAATTATATATATAGGGCTTATCGTTTCTCAAGTTGTTTGAGATAATTTTATCTCCGGCTACTTAATCATAACCGTACAAAGATAGATCAATGATGATAAAGGAATGGAGAGAAAAAGGGAATCATAAATATTCAAAGGTAAATCAATTAATATAAGGAAATAGATAAACAAAATGACATAGTTTTTGGATGGACGGAGATAAATATATCTCAAACTGCTTGAGAATATATATATATATATATATATATATATATATATATATATATATATATATATATATATATAGGATCATTTGACACTAGTGTTAAATTTTAAATTTGACACATCATCTGAGAGCCATTAGATCAAAAAAGATCAATGGTGTCACATACTTGCAAATCAGAGTCGTTGATCTTTTTTTATCTAACGGCTCTTAGATGAGGAGTCAACTTTGAAATTTGACACTAGTGTCAAAGAATCCTACCTCATATATATATATATATGAGGAGAGATATTCTTACTTCCAAATTTTCTACTACCAACTCACTACCTATCTAATCACCATTGGATCAACATTTTCTCTTTTTTTAAAAACTTTTTAGCATTCTCTCTCTTTGATTCAATGGTGATTAAATAGGTAGTAAGTTAGTAGTAGAAAATTTTGATAGTAAGAATATTCTCCCTCTATATTTATATGGAGTTTATATTTCTGCAACTACTGTACATGTAGCAGTCAAATACTTGTCCTATATACGTGAAAGCATTAAATGTGAGAAATCATAACCATACATAAGATGAAAGTATTAAATGCGAGGAATCATAATCATACACTTGTCATTGTTGTACGTAAAGCGGCTGTAGAAATCATAACCATGTGTATATATATGTAAAAAAAATCACATAAGTCACTACTCAAAATTTAATGAATAACTTCATATTTAGAATATATAAGTCACATGATTATATAAGACATAAGTCTAAAACAAAAAAAGAGAAAATTGAGTTTTAAAAAAATGAAAAATAGGGTTTCTTTAAAAAATAAAAATAAAAATATTGAGCTTAGGTAAAAAAGCAAAAACTTACGTTTCTACCATTTTTTACGCTTCTACACGGCATTTCTACCCGTTTTTACTAAGGACCATTTTTACTTACATTTTGAACGTTTTTACACTGCGTTTCTATCGTTTCTAACGTTTTTAGAGTAATTTTTTACAACAATGTGTATGTGAGATAGGATCCTTTGACAATGGTGTCAAATTTTAAAATTTGACACCAAACCCTAACCGTTGATTTTTGTCAATCAACGATTATCATTTATTGGGAATTAATTAATAAGTTTGATTGTCAAAAATCAACAGTTAGTATTTGGTGTCAAATTTTAAATTTTGACACTGATATCAAAGAATTCTGCCTATATATTTATGTTTTAGGGTTTAATATTTCTACAGTGAATACATATGTATAAGTTATCTCCATTCACTCCCACAACTAGGGGTGTTCATCAACCAATCCAAACTGATTCAAACTGCGGTGACCAAACCGAAAAACCGATAACCGAATAAATCGAAAATCGAAAAAAATCCGCAAATTTTAATTGGATTGGATTGGTTTTTGGATGGGCTGATGAAAATTGATCCAATCTAAACCGATTCAATATATTAATTTTCCTCTACCTACTTGGGCCTTTGCCCTCTACCTACTTGGGCCTTTGGCTAATCATAACCCAAAAATTTCTAAACCCAAGACCCATCAACTAAACCAAAGAAAAAACCTTGTCACATCTCATCAACAAAATTCCATCTATGTAGAGCTTCATATCTCATTGCCCAAAAAAAAACTATATTATCGTTCACTGATGCTTTTGTATTTCAAAAAAAAAATTACAAAGCCAATATATACAAAAGATGTTATTTGCACAATAATCAAGAAACTAATTTTAGGATTTTCGAAACATCAAAAATCGATCCAATCCAAACCGAAAAAAATCGGATCGGATCGGATTTAAAAAAAAAATCCAAATCAAATGGATGATTATATGATCAAACCGAAGGTATTTGATCGGATGATTTTTGCTTCCAAAACTGATCCAACCCAGATCGCGAACACCCCTACCCACAACGATGTCATTTTGGGGTGAATAATTAAAAAATTATAATTATAAAGACTATTATAATTCTGGAATAAATTAAAGTTACAAAAATATATTAATTTTTGCCCTAGAATGATATTGTTTTGGACTCAATATAAATAATTTATCTGCATTCATTTGAGGGGGAAAAACGAACCATTTGTTTTATGATACAAACTATGAAGGGTGAAAAAAGAGGAAAACAGAAATAACAACAGGGAATATTTTGATTTAATCTAAAAAATGACTATTTCTGACATTAGGCATAGAAGAATTAGATCAAGAGCTGAAAAAGGAGGTGGAGAATGGTACGTAGATGAGCAACAATAGGATATTATTCCTTATTTGCATGACTTTCCTTTTATGTTATCCTTTATTGGACATTTTAGAATGTGGGCCTTTATCAGGTCCATAACATTGTGTCTGCTTAAGAGTTTTTTAACTTCTTTTTAACTTCTTCGATGTTGGTTACCTCATGTCAAGCCAACTCATAAGCGAAAGGCCCTTGACATAGACCGAAAAAAAGGATGTGAACTTGAACTTTGGAATCAAGACCGTGAATCAGCAAAGGTGGTGGTGACATGACAAAGATGATAGGTCACATATGTAGTGGCTAACTGATGGTGGTTGGTGCTAAGTGGTGGGGGTGGGTGATATGCCTCCAGCATATGTATAAATCTAAGCCAAAAAAAGAAAGAATATTGATCAATACTGGGTAAAAAGGGCTAGAATTACTCTTGATTTGTTAAAATCTCAATCAGAGATCACGTAACTGATTTCCTTTTGATTTTGTAGAAAACAGGACAAAAAGAAGCCTAAATAGAAGTTTCCAAGCTGAAGCACCACGCTACTAGCGTGAAACTCATGCTAGTAGCGCTAGAATAAAAGTTCATCCCGAGACATCCACGCTACTAGCGTGAAACTCACGCTAGTAGCGCCAGCTTGCAGTAGGCTTAATAAAACTCTCACGCTATTAGCGTGAAACTCACGCTAGTAGCGCGGGAGTTACGTGAGAAATTTTTAAACAAATCTCTGGCTGAATCAGAGGAAGATTGGACCAAGATACAAGATGAAGACTTGATCAAGATTTCTAAGCACAACCTAAAGTCTATAAATAGAGGCTTAGACTCCTAGAGAAAAGAACTTTCGCACAGAGAAGAACACGGAGGCAAAGATCAAAGCTTTCTTCTTCTCTCAATTTTCTGGTTATTGTTTTATTCATGAATTCTTTTCTACATTTTGAATTGTCAGACATGAATATGTCTGGCTAGTCTTTTATTATTGTGGTAAGGGTCACAACCCTTGATGTGAACCCCTTGTAGTTTGATTAATTTTTATATTTAATTATTTCAATTGCATTTATTTTACCTTGTTCTTCATCTTCTAATTCTTCTAGAACTGATCACTCTTTTGGGATTGCTAAGGTTAGGATTTCAATAGGAATATTGAGATTCTAGTTCCTGACAAAGGGTAAAATAACAATTCATGTATGCACTAGGGATAGGCTACATGAATTGCAAATGTGGAAAATTCATTGGTTTAAAAGGATTAACTTAAAAAGGAATTTCTAAGGGATTAGGATTCTAATAGGGTTAATAAAGTTAAGATCACTAAGGAATTAGGGCTTAACCAACCAATTAATAGATGGTGAATTGTTTGATCAATGGGTGATGAAATGTAAACATTAATCAATATTGCAAGGTGGGGATCAGAAAGGTGTTGACATCCTTTACCGCAATACTCTTCTAAATATTTTCTCAATTTTAATCTGTTGTTCTCAAATTTCCAAACGCATCTTTGAATTATTTACACTTCTTTGAACTGTTCTCAGTTTTCACAAATCACAACCATTTTCAATATCAATTTTATTGATCCAACAAGAAAGGAATAGTTAACATAATTTCGGTGCCTCAATCCTCGTGGAGACGATACTCTACTCATCATTTTATTACTTGGTACGATTGGTGCACTTGCCAATTTTACACAACAAGTTTTTGGCGCCGTTGCCGGGGATTGAATACGCCAATTTTATTTTAACTTTTGAATTTCTTGATTGGATTTTGTTTTGTTACTAATCTTTTTGCTATAGTTTATGCGAGGTAAAGTACATCGAGACTCTTTACAGTTTGATCCAGAAATAGAGAAAACTGGAAAGAAAAATCGAAAGCAAGCCAAGCAAAGAAAGCAAGAAACATCTTCAAGTTCTAAGCCACACACAGAACCAGTAATGGCTGCCCCTAATCTACCTCCTGCACCAGAGTTGATGGAGTCAATTCTTACTCCTATGTTCACTAGGCTAAACTCTAGCATTGTCCGGCCATAGATAGATGCCAACAACTATGACATCCAACTGTCGCTGATTACCTTGGTGGAGAAGACTCTTTTTGGTGTAGAAGATTACGAAGATCCTCATGACTTTATGGACAGATTTCTGAGAATCTCTGACACCACTAAGCATCATGGAGTGTCTGATGATGCAATCAGACTCAGGCTGTTTCCTTTTGCTTTGACCAGAAAAACTCTCAGATGGTTAGATCGACAAGCTCCTAACAGTATCCGAACATGGGATGATTTAGCAGCTAAGTTCTTTGCTAAGCATTTTTCTCGGGAAAAGTACAATAAGTTGGTGAATGAAATCACCAACTTCATTCAGCAGCCGAGAGAGACTCTCTGTGCGTCCTGGACAAGATTCTAGGAGTTGGTCAGAAAATGCCCTCAATATGACTTCCCTGATGACAAGAAGGTCAGAGTCTTCTACAATAGGATGACACTCGACTCCAGGATGGTTGTCAACGGTGCAGCCGATAGAACCATAGGAAGGAAGACAGCAGCTGAAACTCTGGAACTGATTGATTACATGGCGAGAACCGAGAATGCTTCAATGGAAGTTCAGCCAGTTAAACCCAAGAGAGGAATCTTACAACTGGGGAACAATGATGCGTCACTAGCTGAGCACAAGGTTATCTCTCAACAGCTAGCCAGTCTGAATGCCAAGCTCGACAAGATGCAGATCTCAACATCTAAAGTTAATGTATTTAACTGTGAGTATTGCAAGGAGCCGCATGATATTAATGAGTGCCCTACATTCAATGGAGCTGAACCATTCCAGGACAATGGTATTTGGTATAATCCAAGGCCACCACAGAATACCCAAAGTTACCAGAGGAATCAGAATGGCGGCCAAGGGAAACTTTCAGAGGAGAAATCAAGGTGGAGGCCTGGATTACAACTCCAACAATTATCTGCAACCTTCTCCTCTTCCACATAATGAGCCATCTGAACTAGAGAAAGCAATGTTGCAGCTTTCCAAGACCACAAATGATCACATGCAGACTACTAATGCCTTCATTAATGAGACAAGAGCCTACCATAAGAATCAAGATGCATCCATCAGAAACTTAGAGACTCAAATAGGCCAACTTTCAAGACAACTTGCTGAGAGGAGTCAAGGAACAATCTCTAGTGATACCATTGTGAATTCAAGGGAGCACTGCAATGCCATCACTACTAAAAGTGAGGAGCTAGAAAAAGAGAAAGCGGAAGTTTCTACAGACAAGAATGAGCACATCCAAGAAGGCAAAGAAAAAGCAAAAGAGCAACTTCCTGCAGTTCAAAAGAAGCAATGGGATTTCTCTCATTTTGAGAAACCTCAATATCCTATGAAGCTCAAACAACATGAACAAAGGAAACAATTTTCTAAATTTTTAGATATTTTTAAGAAATTGCAAATTAACATTTCTTTTGCAGAAGCTCTAGAGCAAATGCTTTCGTATACCAAATTCTTGAAGGAGATATTATCTAAGAAGCGGAAGCTCACAGAGTATGAACCTGTCATATTAACAGAGGAGTGCAATGTGATCCTATAGAAAAACATGCCTCCAAAGTTGAAGGATCCAGGAAGCTTCAGTATTCCATGCACCATTGGTAAGAAAACTATAGAGAGAGTCTTATATGATCTTGGTGCCAGCGTTAATGTGATGCCATTAACCCTGATGAAGAAGCTGGGAATTGATGATGTCAAGCCAACTAAGATGAATGTTAACTGGCCGACCGCTCAACAAAGAAAGCACATGGTATTGTGGAAGATGTGCTAGTCAAGGTAGACAAATTTCTAATTCCTGTCGATTTTGTCATCCTTGACATTGATGAAGATGCCAGTGTGCCTATGATCTTCGGGAGGCCATTCTTAGCAACCTCAGGAGCATTAATCGATGTACCTAAGGGTGAGATGATAATGCGCGTGGATGGAGAGCAAGCAATATTCAAGGTACTCATAAATGAAGTCCTCCATTGACTGCTTCTCAACCTAAGAATCAAGTCAATTACTTTGCGGAGAAAAAGGCTGAGGAAGGGAACAAGAAGGAAGTTCATCAGTGGCATGAAGGAAGCAAGCCAAAGGTGAAGATGGAAAAGCCCAAGAGCAAGGAAAAACATGTGAAAACTAAGTTTAAAGTTCTTGAGAACCCTCCTCCTCATCCACATGCATATGATCATGGAAGGAAACAATACTGGACCAAGAAGACTGGGTCATCAATGGTAGCATGTTTCCAACCACCATAAAAACTCAAGGGGTACGTCAGGCTCATGACATTAAACAAGCGCTAATTGGGAGGCAACCCAATAGTAGTTTTCTGTTTTTATTTTATTTATTTTATTTGCTTAGTTAGTTTATTTTAACAAGTCAAGTGATTGGTGAATTAGTGATCAGATGGAAAAATTTTAAATCTGGAAATTGGCGCTATCAACGCCAACTTGGCGCTAGTAGCGCCACAAGACCAAAAGAGGCAGTGAGCTCCGCGCTCACAGCGTGAACTCCACGCTGTCAGCACCAGAAACCCACGGAAGACTCGCGCCAACAGCATGAAATCCACGCTGACAGCACCACTGGGTCCAAAAGTTCCAGTGAGATCCGCGCTCACAGCGTGAACTCCACGCTGTCAGCGCCAATGTTCTCACCATTTACATTGACTTTAATGTTTTCTTTTTGCTGTTTTTAGATTATGGTTTGATTATATCCCCTTTTACATGCTGAGGTATGATTGTTCTGTTTGATGTTTAACAAGTGTGTGAGTGTTCCACCTGTGCAGAATTAGCTTTACTCGACTAGTTTAGTTGTTGCTGAGGACAACAACATTCTAAATCTGGGAATTGGGCGCATACCATATGCGATAACTGCCAACTGCGGAATTGCACAACAGAGACGTCTAACAGGAAATTTTTTTTTGTAAAAGGGGAGATACTTTAACCTTTCTTTTTATTAATTTCTGCTATTTTTAATTCAATTTTTCATTTTTTTTAGAAGAAAAAAAATTTACAAAAATGGAGATTTCCTGAACAAGCATTCTTAGATTTTACGAAGCTTACTCAATAAGTAATTGGATTGAATTATAAGAAGCATGATATCTGTGGAGCATTTAATTGTTTTTATAATCTGAGAATGATGATTGCTCGTTTGTATAACTGTTTTGGTGAAAATTCTTAGATAATGCTTGATGTGAAATTTTGAAATTAGATTCTAGTTTGAATTATAACTGTGAGGAATTGAGCCTAAATAGAAATATTTTTCAGAGAGACCTCACTGTAGTAGTTTTCTAGAACTTGAACTGTTTCTCTGGCTTGCATGCATTACTGACATGATAAAGGCATGTTTATTCTTGATAACTTAGAGCCAAACAGCCTACCTAGAAAGAATTTCCATTGTTAAGCCCTTTTGAGCCTTAAACCAGTTCATTCAAAAACCTGATGAAAAATACTTAACATTGTTTCCCTTGACACACCTTGAGAGAGATTGAATGCTGATCAAAAGAAAAAGGTCAAGGTACTTCTCAAAGGAAAAGTTAAGTAAGTCGAAAAAGGAAAAGAAGAACAATTTGCAGAAAGACAGCTCAAAAGAGAAAAGAAAGAAAACATTTGCAAACAAGGAAAGAAGAGAAAAAGGTAGTGAACAAGGGAAAAGAATCCCAAAATGAAGAAAAGTGGCAGAACAAAAGACTGAGAAGAAAGTATTGTCAAAAATCTCAGTATTTCAGTCTCTCAAATTAATCAGCCTCTGTCCAAAAGATTCTTACCCCCAAACCAGACCAAGTTATAACCTATCAAAGACCTTTTGATCAGTCTATGCATGGCAAATGGGTTCCTCAATCTTAGGAATTTGAGAATATGTTCAAGCTTACGGAATTACTGCTACACTGATGGAATGAGTGTGAAAACCTCAAACACTGAGAGTGATGAAAGTACATTTATCCAGTGAGGGATATTCAAGTTAGGGTCTGATTTCTTGATACAACTGAAAAGCATTGTTTGAAGTTTTTAATATGGAGTTATACATGCATAGCAGTCTGATTTCTTAAGATATTCATGTTCCGTGTTTTTTTTTTACAGAGTTAATCTTTGCTTCTAAACTTTAATCTATTACATTGCTGAGGACAACAACGTTCAAATCTGGGAATTGTTTGATATGCCTCCAGCATATGTATAAATCTAAGCCAAAAAGAGAAAAAAATCTTGATCAATCCTGGATAGAAAGAGCTAGAATTACTGTTGATTTGTTAAAATCTCAATTAGAGATAACGTAACTTATTTCCTTTTGATTTTGTAGAAAACAGGACAAAAAGAAGCCCAAATGGAAGTTTCCAAGCTGAAGCCCCACGCTACTAGCATGAAACTCACGCTAGTAGCGCCAGAATAAAAGTTCATCAAGAGACATCCACGCTACTAGCGTGAAACTCACGCTAGTAGCGCCAGAAGAACTTTTTCATCTAGAGACTCCCACGCTACTAGCGTGAAACTCGCGCTAGTAGCGCCAGCTTGCAGTAGGCTTAATAAAACTCCCACGCTAGTAGCGCGGGAGTTACGTGAGAAATTTTTAAACAAATATTTGGCTGAATCAGAGGAAGATTGGACCAAGATACAAGATGAAAATTTGATCAAGATTTCTAAGCACAATCTAAAGTCTATAAAAAGAGGCTTAGACTCCTAAAGAAAAGAACTTTCGCACAGAGAAGAACACAGAGACAAAGATCAAAGCTTTCTTCTTCTCTCAATTTTCTGGTTATTGTTTTATTCATGAATTCTTTTCTACATTTTGAATTGTCAGACATGAATATGTCTGGCTAGTCTTTTATTATTGTGGTAAGGGTCACAATCCTTGATGTGAACCCCTTGTAGTTTGGTTAATTTTTATATTTAATTATTTCAATTGCATTTATTTTACCTTGTTCTTCATCTTCTAATTCTTTTAGAACTGATTACTCTTTTGGGATTGCTAGGGTTAGGGTTTCAATAGGAATATTGGGATTCTAGTTCCTGACAAAGGGTAAAATAACAATTCATGTATGCACTAGGGATAGGCTACATGAATTGCAAACGTGGAAAATTCACTGGTTTAAAAGGATTAACTTGAAAAGGAATTTCTAAGGGATTAGGATTCTAATAGGGTTAATAAAGTTAAGATCACTAAGAAATTAGGGCTTAACCAACCAATTAATAGATGGTGAATTGTTTGATCAATGGGTGAAGAAATGTAAACATTAATCAATATTGCAAGGTGGGGATCAGAAAGGTGTTGGCGTCCTTTACCACAATACTCTTCTAAATATTTTCTCAATTTTAATCTGTTGTTCTCAAATTTCCAAACGCATCTTTGAATTATTTACACTTCTTTGAACTGTTCTCAGTTTTCACAAATCACAACCATTTTCAATATCAATTTTATTGATCCAACAAGAAAGGAATAGTTAAAATAATTTCGGTGCCTCAATCCTCGTGGAGACAATACTCCACTCATCATTTTATTACTTGGTACGATCGGTTCGGTGCACTTGCCAATTTTACGCAACAGTGGGTATTAGCAGTGGACAATGGCGACAACGATGATGACGATGATGGTGGCTGGCTGGTGTGGGTGGCATGTGTAGGTAATAGTGGTTACAAGGCTGACGATGACCAGAGTCAATTATCGGTTGTGATGGATGGCGATGGTGATTGGGATGACAATAGCCAATAATGGTAGTGGCAGCTAGTAGCTCATGGTATAATGGTGGTGGTTGATTGGTGGCTGGTGGTGGCGACACTAGGTGGTAGAGGTGCATAATTGCCAATGTCGGTATCTACACGTGCTTAAGGATTGGGAGAAATGTGACATTTGATATCATATCCTATTTATTCCTAAACTGAGTCCCCATAAAAGAGCATGCAGATAGGATAAAATGAGTAAACAGGATAAGCTTATTGGCTCACCAAACAAAGGATAAAAACGTAATACGATACCATATTTATGATTTCTTCTCTATCCTAACCACCAAAGAAGTGGTTTAAAATATTGATTTGTTTGTAATCAACTATCCTTATTATTCTTCATATTTTTTGAAAACTTTACTTATTTTTAGGTAATTTTTCTTATCTTTATATTTATCTTTAGAATATTTTCCTTATTTTCAGGGAGTAACTATATATTTTTATCTTTATCTTTATCTAGAAGAAAATCAGATTTGGTTTCTTTTATTCATTCAGAGATTTTTGTTTGTTTCTTGTTCTTGGTTGGATTAGATTTGCGTCGGCTAGCCAGTAAACTTAGGTTGTATTAATCAAATTGTGATCTTTATTATGAAAATGCAATTTAGGGCATCGGGGGAGAGGTTAATATACGAGGATTTTGTGGCAAACCTGACTTGAAAAATTCGATTAGGGAGAGGTTCCATGCGGGTTTTGTGCGGAGATTCACAACTTGTTCACACCCTCGTACAAGCTGGATGAGCCGCATGATTTCCGGTTTCTGCTTCTAGTCGACGAAGGTTGTGATCTATTGTGAACTGTTGACCACTGATATCTTATTGTGAAACTTATTTGCACGTAACTTTGGTGCCAT